GAACAGTAACTCCGATGTGAACAGTAACAACGATAAACCCTAGGCTCTGATACCATGTAATCAGAGAGAACTAGGACCGAGATATTAGAGAGAATTCTCTATTATATGATTAATCAGAAAAATTCAAATTTACAAGAGGAGAGACACTATATATAGACATAATTACACGGGAAACCCTAACCCTAAAGCCCATCGGGCTTGGACACATTACCATAAATAGGTTACTTAATTAACAGTCTTCGACCACCTAATACAGCTAACATTTTTTAGGACACTACAGAAAGGGCCTTTTCTCACCTTTCAATCTTTTTCCCAGATGGTATGAAGTGTTTGGTGTTTAATTTTCAGCATAGCAATTTACCCAATCTCGATAAGATTATAATTCAGCCCATCCAAATTTTCTTTTCAAACTGCCCATCAATAGGGTCATATGTTTTAGACTTCAGGTTGTGGAACATCTCAACAAGGAACGGCATTATAAGTTGGCAGGAATTTCAACTCACATATATTATTGTTCTATAAGTACAGTAAAAATGGTAAGGCCCTTCATACCCTCTCTTCAAAGAAAAGTGATACTTTGCGTAGCATAGCTGTTATGGTCCCATGTTGATTCATGGTGGTAGCAAACCATCAACGTTATGGTTACATATTATCCTTCACGTTGTTCACTAAGATGACTTCTCACCCTTCTCGTGCTAATTACTTATGTATTCAACTTACTTCCAAGTACATTCAAGAATAATACAGATATCACTAAACACACAACTAGGTCATTCTCTAAGTCCCTAACCATAGAGACAATGGATAAGTGCCCTTCTTAATCTCGAAAGAGGCAATGGATGATAAGTATATACTTGCATGAGTCTCCATTTGCTAATAGTCCGAATTATTTATTCCATATCTTGCAACAGCATGCAAAGGATTGACATGTCTTTTAAGTGATTTAATCATGAGTTGGTAACTCCAAGTTATTTATTTCATATAAGTCTTGCAAAAGCATGCAAGGGATTGACACGCAGATTCCTATCTCTCTCTCTCTGTTCACTTCCTCTTTTCACCTTTCTTCGATTATGATAATTTTTTTATGCTTTATAAGATGGTCCCTTAAACTCATTTTCGGACAGGTGCATTGGTTTTGGGTTATTAGGCCTGCAAAGGATTGAGATATCGTGCAAGCGCTATGATCATAAGCCGGTAACACCAAGCTGTGAGAGGATGACATGTAGGTTTCTACCTCTCTTCACTTCCTCTCTATCTTTTCACATTTCTTTGATTATATATTGTTTTTTTCTTCAAGATGGTCCTTTAAGCCCATTTTAGATGGGTTTATTGGTTTCGAGCTATTAGGCACCAGCTTAGTTGTCTTTATGCATGGCATCACCTAGGCAATGATATGGAGAAGAATTTTTCCCTGTGTCACCATGTATAGCATGGCCAGCACCTTGCCATCAGTTCCTAGGGCAATACATAGTGAGAATTGTGGTGTACTGATGCGAAGGATACCATGGCAAAGTGAAACCAATATACATATAGATGCAGATACACACATACAGAGGTACATAGAGGTGATTCAATTTGAGACAATTACAGGAGTATGATGCTTAACATAGAATGGAGGGAACATCTGGACTGTTATCAAGAACCATAAGAAAGTTGCAAAACAACAATGCAAAGGACAACCACATGATGAAAAATAAACGAATTCAACCTGGTATGAGAAAAGTACAATTAAATTTAAAAAGTGTACCTGCTGACAGACACGGACTGCTTCAGTTAAAACCTGAACAGCAAGCAAAGGATCACCAGATTATGACAAGTGTAGAAACAATGGCATATGGTACAACCATCCATCCAGCAAGAATCAACTAAAAAACCAAAGAAAGTGAAGGCAAATAAACTGCTGGAAGCATCATCATATACCTCCAGAGCTAACTTAGGGTGACCAAAATGAAAATGTGCCATTCCCAAAGATAGTAATGCAATTTCATATCTTCCGAAGCTGGTGCAGCCAAATGATGTGGGAACAAAATCAGATCCCTCCATCCCTGCACTACAGTGTCAATATTTGTTGATTAATAAGTTCAACCACCAAAAGTGAGAACTCGAAAGATTCGCTTTCAAAGCTTACTTTCCATCTTTATCACAAAATCTTAAAAGTTATCATGTCGTGAAGACCCTTTGATAAGAGAAAAAGGAACAATGAAAATTTTCATACTGGACAAACAGAATTGTACGAAGTCAACACCAAACTTCCATGTTTAAATAATCAAAAATATGATTTCATCTTATCTCCGGCAAGAAGCCCCACTATAGTGGTTTCTGAAACTTAACCAAAATTAAATAGAAACCATCTAAAAAGGCTCCTTAGTAAACCCAACACAGTAAAAGCAGTCAAGCAACTAATAAATCCTTGTTTCTTTTAAGTATGAATATAATGATACCATGTATAATCCCCATTGATCTAAAATGTAGAGCTTTGGACACTCTCAATTGACCTTTTCTACTGTGGAATTCTTTTTTATTTCACTTGTCTCAAAAGAGGGAGGTACAAAGGCTATATATACACAAAGAATATGAGAAGAAAAGGAAAGGATTCCTAAGATATTCACAGCAACTAATTACAAGGAGATATTACTAACAGATTTAGGAATTCTGCTGTGTTTCTTATTCATTCTTGACAGAGAAGCACACAAAATAAATACACAAGGCAAAGGGAAAGAAAAGAAAACTATTCTATGAATCCCTGATTTATGGGATTGCCTACAATCACTAATATTATGGAATTATAATCGGCTTCCATTACTCCTACATTAAATACATAATCATTTACATTTTTACATTTTTACATTTTCCCACACTCCCCCTCAACTCCCATTCCCAGCTTGGATAAAATTTTAAGAAGCATCGGTCTACTTAGTCCTTTGGTGAAAACATATGCTAGTTGTTCATGAGTAGGCACGAATGGAGTACAAATTAAGCCACTATCTAGCTTCTCCTTGACAAAATGTTTGTCAACTTCAACATGCTTTGTTCGATCATGCTGAACTGGATTGTGAGCTATGTTTTTTGCTGACTTAATGTCACAATAGAGCTTCATTGGTCCCTCCCAATTGATCCTTAGATCTTTTAGGGTGATTTTTAGCCACAATAGTTCGCATATACCATGTGTCATTGCCCGAAGTTCGGCTTCAGCACTAGATCGTGCTTCCACGCTTTGCTTCTTGCTTCTCCATGTCACAAGATTTCCTCCGAGAAAAGTGCAATACCCTCTTATCGATCTACTGTCAACTGATGACGTAGCATAGCTTGCATCGGTGTATGCTTCAAGAGTTACACGGTTATTTCTTTCAAACATGATTCCCTTCCCCAGTGCTCCTTTGAGATACTGTAAAATCCGGTCTACGGCTCGTAAATGGGTTTCCTTTGGGTTATGCATGAATTGACTGACCATGCTTACAGCATAAGCTATGTTAGGTCTGGTATGAGACAAACATACAAGTTTCCCCACAAGTCGTTGATACATTTCCTTCTTCACAATTGCATCTTCTTCTGCATTTCCCAGTCTATGATTCAGGTTTATAGGAAAACTAGCAGGTTTGCATGCACCTTGACCTGTTTCCATGAGCAAATCTATAACATACTTCTGTTGGGATATAAAAATTCCTTTCTTGAATGAGCAACTTCAATTCTAAGTAAATATTTCAGCCTTCCTAATGTTTTGATCTCAAATTCTTTGGTTAGACATAGGCTCAGGGCTTGTTGCTCTTCTTTATAATCTCCTGTTACAATCATATCATCCACATAAACTAGTAGCATTGTTATTTTTCTTGTTTTTTAGTGCTTGATAAACAGAGTGTGATCCCCTTGACTTTGTTTATATCCCAAATTTAACATAGCCCTGGTAAATCTCCCAAAGGAGATTGTTTTAAGTCGTGTAGTGCCTTTTTTAACATACACACCGTATTAGGTTTTGTTCTTTTTCCACAACCAGGTGGAACATCCACATAGATCTCCTCAAGTTCTCCATGCAAGAATGCGTTTTTTACATTAAATTGATGCAAATCTCAATCAAGATTAGCAGCTAGGGATAGAATTACCCTAACTGTATTCATTTTTGCAACAAGTGTGAATGTCTCAAAGTAATCAATGCCAAAAGTCTGTGTATATCCCTTAGCTACCAATCTTGCTTTATACCTCTAAATCGACCCATCCGTGTTATATTTCACTATATAAACCCATTTGCATCCTACTGGCCTTTTTCCGTCCGACAATTTAACCAACTGCCAAGTTTTATTCTTTTCAAGTGCTTAGATTTCCACATTCATGACTTGCTTCCAATTTTCATTAGATATTGCCTCAAATAAATTTGTAGGAATGGAAATGTAGTTGAGGTTGACAAGAAATGCCTTGTAGGTGGGAGAGAATTTTTGGAAAGAGGTGTAGTGTGATAAGGGATACAATGGTCTTTTTGTGCCTTCTCTTGTTCCTATCTAACGACAATAGGCAAAGATTGGTCACTTGTTTGAGATTCACTCACGCTTTGCAAGGGTATAGAGTCAGAAATTGTTACCTCTTTCTCGGACCAGTATCAGATTCTCGGACTTGCTCAGGTCCAAAAATATTCTTCTTTTGTCTTGAGTATACCAGGTTCTAGGTTCTTGGATTCTGGAATAGGTTCACGATCTGGTAGAATTGTTTTAAAGTTATGAGTAACAGGAGTACTTGGGGAGTGTTCAGGCTCAGGGATAAAAGCAGAGTGAGACTGGGATGAAATAGGCTCACGAGCCGGTGAAACTATTTCAGGATCATGGATAACACGAGTATTTGGGGAGTGCTGAGGAATAGAAGTGGAAGCTGATATGAATAAGTCAAGTAAAAGATCTTCCAGGCTACCCTTATCTTCCTTTCGATCCCCCCCTGAAGATAAGGTTGGGTGAAGTAAGGATTGCTTTTGCTAAAGGTTACATCCCTTGACACAAAAAACTTTCTAGATGGGCGGTGGTAACATTTGTACCCTTTCTGGGTTGAAGAATATCCCAAAAAAACACACTTTACCAAGGATCAAGTTTGTTTATGACTCGGCTACGGACGTGAACAAATGAAATACATCCAAAAATACGGGGTACAAGATTGTTGGGAGTGGACACATTTGGGTGAAAGGAAGAAAGTACATCCATAAGACTTTTGAATCCTAGAACTCGGGTAGGGAGTCTATTTTTAAGATAAGTTGTTGTGAGCACTGCTTCTCGCCAAAAATGTATTGGAGCGTTATCTTGAAATAATAATGCTCTGGTTTGATCTAGTAAATTCCCATTTTTCCTCTTTGCCACTCCGTTCTGTTGAGGTTTTTTAACACATGAAGATTCTTGCATTATTCCCTCTTTTTGAAAATAGAAGGTGAGAGTTTGATTGAAAAAATCTCGAGCATTATCATATCTTATTTTTTGAACTTTTACTCCAAATTGATTTTTTAATATCGAAATGAAATTAGGGAGAATAGTGCTAACATCAGACTTATGTTTTAATAAGAACACCAAGTAACTCGTGTACAATCATTAATGAAGGTCACAAACCATCTTGCATCCGACTCATTGGAAATATTAGATGGACCCCAAATATCAGTGTGAATAAGATAAAAAGGGGAGTTGCTTCTTTTATCACTATAAGAAAAAGAATACGCTTGTGTTCAGCAAGCTCACATACCTCACAATGACGGCTCTCAACATCGATTGTTTTAAACAAATAAGGAAAAATAACTTTAATAATCCTAAATGAGGGATGACCTAAACGACAATGATGAAGTATGAATTTTTCTTTATTGGAAAGAAGAGATTCTTTGATACTAGAGAGTGAAATAATATGGTACTTTTTGGCATCTCAAGACAATATAGATCATCCTTTCCTTAGCAAGTCCAATCGTCTTCCCTGAATCCTTTTCCTAAAGGAAACAATATTCGTCACAAAATACCACTTGACAAGGTAAATCTAGTGCTTGTTTCTTTATAGAAATCAGATTAGTGGACAATTTTGGGACGTAAGAACATTTTTTAAGAGAATGGATGAGCTGAGTTGGATATCTCCTATACCGGCTACGGTGGTTTGAGTTCCATTAGCAGTGGCAATTTTCTTGTTACTTGGACAAGGTGCGTATGTGGAGAAGTGTTTGGAAGAGTGAGTCATATGGTCAGTTGCTCCCGCATCAATGATCCAGAAGTATTTTAGAGTTGAACCTGAGACATTAAATCCAAATGAAAAAGGATGCTCGCCTAAATAGGTTTAAAATAACAGGTACGTGGGAATGAGTATCCACCACCAGAAGGTTTTTCCCAAGTGCTGAAAAATGACCTGAGCTTTTCCACTTCCTCTTGATTAAGGTTTGCTGGCTCTTGTTTGACTTCTTCTGGGGTTGGGTCGATTGCAACATGGGCTTGTCCTTTTTCTCTAGTCGTTGCACTTTTCTGCCCCCACTCTTGGCTTGGAGGTTTGCCATGTAACTTCCAACATTTCCCCTTGGTGTGACGTGCCTTTTTGCAATAAGTGCACCATAACCCATCTCGATTTTGAGTCCTGAGTTGATCACCCTTCCCGGATCCAGATTCGTAGTTGGTTCTATTTTCCCTCCTTATCTTGACATTTTCGGCCATCATTACAGAGCCATTCATTGCAGGGGTCTCAAGCATTAAGGTTCTCCAGCTTTCCTCACTTCTAACAATAGCCACCACTGTTGGAGATATGCCCATAGACATAACAAAATAGTGATATAGTTAAATGCATGGGCCTATTGGGTCACACACAAAGTTTTATCAATGTAAAAGCGAGAAATAATATTTAAGGGTTTAATGGGTAATTAATTACTAGAGGGACTAATTGGTTATTAGTCTAAACCTATTTGGGCTTAATTAAGATTGGGCCTTAACCTAATATGGTTAGGTTTTAGTTGGATTAGGCCTTATAAAAGGATGCTTATCCCTAAACCCTGAACCTAATTCACCTTTGAGTTCCTCCTCTCCTCTCCTCTCCTCTCCTCTAGAAAACGGCGCCCACACCCTCTCCCTAAGGGTGTGGCCGAAAACTACAAAGCACACACATATTATCAATATAAAGTGTGGTGCTTTTGGGATTGCACGTGAAGAAAAAGGTGATTTCTTGCTGTTTACAAGTGATAGAAGCTTTGGGGTGTGAACACGATAGAGAGGATCCTGCTATTGGGTTCTTGACTTCCATTTAAAAGGTATTTCTATGCTTGTTTTCTTACTTGTATCGGATTGTAACCAGATCTCTGGAAGGTTGTGATTTTCGATTTTGTTTGCTTCCGCTGTTAATGTTTTGGTTGTTGAAATTTATCACGATCCAACAACCACTTCATTAAAGCAAGGTACTTCAGATTTTCCAAGGATTTGAATCCTCACTTGATCAAAGTCAGAGTTTAAACCTACTAGAAAGTCATAAACTCTGTCTTGTTTAATGAAGTCCTTGAGTATTGTCGCATCTTCAGAG